ACCCTTCTCACGAGTTCAATCAAACTTCTTGAAGACGCAAGAAGGGAGTTTTTTTTACCAGGGGCTTCCTTGAACACAATGGCAAGGAACACAACGGACCTGGAAAGGTAAGAGGGGCGCCTCGCAGCCCAATACCACCCACCTCATCCCAATGGTAAAGGCAGTCTGCCTGCCTTCCCCGCCGTCCCTTTAGCGAGGGATGGCAGGTGGGAGAGAAGCGAGGCACGCTTCTTACCTTTCCAGGTCCATTGCATTCCTCGCCCTTTCGTCTATTGAATCCCCTTGCAGAAAAAAAACCTCATGACTTCAACTTTACAAAGGTATTCAATGGACAAAAGGGCGAGGAACGCAGCGGAGCTGTCAGTCTCTGGTAGCATTAGGACGCGCGTCTCACTTCTCCCCCCCCACCTGCCACCCCTCGCTAAAGGGACGGCGGGGAAGGGAACCAGGCAGGCTGCCTTTACCATTGGGGCGAAGTGGGCGGTATTGGGCCACAAGGCGTGGCTCTTAACTTTCCAGGTCTGTTGTGTTCCTTGCCCTTTCGTCCATTGAATCGCCTTGTAAAAAAAACCTCGCGAGTTGAACTCATGAGGTTTATTTTACAAGGGTATTCAATGGGCGAAAGGGCGAGGAACGCAATGGACCTGGAAAAGTAAGAGGCACGCCTCACTTCTCCCCCGCACCTGCCACCCCCTTGCTAAAGGGATGGCGGGGAGGAGAACCAGGCAGGCTGTCTTTACCATTGGGGGTAGGTGTTTTTTTGTGCGAGAAGGAACAGGCCGGAGGGGGTGATCACACTGCTGGCCTGCTGCTGTTTTTGCAGCGGGCTCGTTGTAAGTGTGAAAAATAGTCATGTCACTTTTGCAGTGCTATTTTCACTTCAGATGATCAGTAAACGAATGGTTGTAAATCAAGGACTTCCTGACAGCTGTTTCCTATACTTCTAACTTAAGCTTTTGTTCTTAATTTTCTTAGTGTTGCAGCGATTACTCTTAAGAAATTTCATGTTCAACTCTTCCTCATATATCTGCAAGTATGCAAAAATGAACAGACAAAAAAGGTGGTACATTCAAAATTAGCATTCCCTAATAATTAAATTCTTCATTTTTTAAGGCAACTGCCTATAAATAGTTACTCTTCTCAATAATATAATGATGGAATAATCCAAGCCATCAAAATAGTAACAATAATTCTCTTATTGAAGTCATGAGTCCTCAGTTGTAGTAAGTCAGCTAAATAACCCCCCACTGTTGTGTTCTATATTTGAATCCTGCCCAACTCTATTCGAAAGATGTATGGAGCAGATGGGAGTAACCCTGCCTGGTGCTTTTCTTTATTCCAAACTGTAGGATGACTATTCTTTTCATACGGAGTCTCAGTATGCTGTTTTGCTCTCTTCTTTGTAGAGTACATTTTTAATGTGTAATGAAGAAAACATATGTAATCTTTACAATGCATTAAGTTCCAAAAGTGGATGGAAGAGTTTTTTTTAGTTTTAAAGTTTATTTATAGGCCGCCCTTTTCCCTGGGGGGACTCAGGGCGGCTTACAACTCATAGAGAATGCTGAGTTGATGGGCCACTTTATTGCTTAGGGTCTCTCTCTTCTGAGCTACAGACAAAGGGGAGGACCCTCATGTAGAGTCTCTGCAGGGATGTATTTGGGAAATATAAAGCTGATTCTCCAAAAGACAAAGGATCTTTGTATCTCTCATTTCTCTATTTGACCATATTTCAAAGCCAGATTCTCTTTATGGCATATTTCATATCTACAATAAACTGGCTCATTTTCCTGATTTTTTTTTTGTTCCTTCCTTTCAATAGATTCAAAGTATGTCTCTCAATTTTTAGAAACTCTTTTTCAATATTATAAATGGAGAGACATTTATTTTATTATAAAGTTATTATTTTATAACAAGACTTTCTTTTAACTCTACAGAGAAGAATACATTTTCAAATAATTCTGCAGCAATATTTGCAAAAAAAAAAAAGCTTTTTTAAAAAACTTGACGGTTCTTTGTTGAGTAGCCCCAATTAGCTCTAAAAGTTGGCTAGGGCAGTTGGTGTTTTGTGAAAGCTGCTTTTGTCTATTCCTTCTCACTTCATGGGGTATTAACATTCTCTTTAAAGGAAATATTCTATATTGAAAATCAAAAGGAGTATGAGAACAAATGTGCTGCGAAGAAGAGGAGATTTCAAGTGCTGGGCAAAAAGATGAAGCAAGCTATTAAAGGACTTAATCTTCAGGAATACGACGATGCCTCCCGAGAGACTTTTGCGAGTGACACAAATGAAGCCCTAGCTTCTCTGGATGACTTGCAAGAAGGACATGGGGAAATAAAACTTGATGTAGAACATGTCTTTGAAACAGATGAAAGTGATAGTATCTTTTGTGTACTAGATACTTGAGGAATCAAAATCTTTGTGATGTATATATTAATGGTCAATTTTATATTATATCTTTTCATTAGTTGCAATAGTGCCTATTATGTGAATCACATGTTGGAAAGGACCATTTTATTTCTTACAGTTGATGCTTAAGTTTTCAGTTTGCTTGAGATCATGAATGCTCTACATCTTCATTTAGTTCTTAATTTCAACAGACACTTAACACCTAATGCACATTCTTTCACCCCACAGTTAGTTTTAACATTAGGGGAAAAAACCCTGAATGCTGTCATTCCAAAAATAAAACCTTTGTATGGAATATAACTGCATGGAAGCACTATTTCATTTCACTAATAGTAATATAAATAAATATCATTCTGACACATACTCTGGTATGGAAGCCTTTTTAGCTGATTGTTATTTTCATGATGAATTTCAGAACAGGTTTTGCCTTCGAGACAGATTAATATTCAGTCTACTTGCAAGATTTTATAGATGGAGCAATAAGGAATATAATGCAGCCATTTCAAATGTTTTTCATTTGGATGCCCTTCACAGTTGAAAAAGTTACTTCTGAAGAAGACCTGGTATTTTCCAGTTTGTCTCCTGTTTTAATGATAGAACCTGAGGTTTTATTCTATAACACAAAAGTGATGAATACTATACATTGCATGCATAGAGAACTTCAATTTCATCTTAAATTGACCTTTTTCTAAGAAAATAATAATTAAAATAATGTTTTAAAATAATTAAAACAAACTTTTGTCTTTTACAGTTATTTCAGTTTTCAGTTTTTTATACCTGAGTTTTGAGCTAACAATCCTGCATCAAATTAGTTATATTAAAATAGACCATTGTTAATCCCTATTAATTATAATCATCTTAAAAGAACAAAAAATTAAAAAATCAAGCAATACATTTTTATGAATCATAGCAGTAGACTTATGTATCATAGGTCTAAAGTTTCATAAGATTAGAGTGGAAATTGCAAATCTGGTTTAATTTTCATTTATAATACATAAAATAAATACAATTATTCGCTTTTAAGTTATTTATTCAATTTGCTTTTTGGGAGGATTTTTTGGATGGATTTTTTTTTTTTTTTTTTTTTTTTAAGGATTTCCAGTTGGCCTTTAAAAAAATGAAAGAGGTGGGATAGTGAAATGAACTCTCTTGCTTAGGTTATTCTGTCAATATATCAAACTTCAGCACTGGTAGTTAAATCCATGAAGACCAACGGCTTATTTCAGTTATATACATTTGTGTGTGTTAAATTTTTAGTTCAAACTTACACAATGAATTTCAGTAACTTTATTGTGAAAACAGGAGATGCTGCTGATTAAAAGTGTTTTTGTATATTAAAAGGACTTGCCCACTGAACTGCCTGTAGCAAAGTTATATTTTCCTCCTCAGTCTTCCTTTATTATCACAAAAAAGCCATACTGCCTTGGAATGATTTAATCAATTGTTATTGCTATGATGTTTTAAAGACTTTTTTTAAAAAAAAATGGTAAAGTAGGTGAGACATAGAGCTGTTCCTGTTGGAATTGTATTTTTCACTAATGCATTTTTCCCTTCATGTACATATTTGTTCCTCATTTATGAATCCTTTGAGGAAGAAATATGTTATAAATTAATATATATTTTATCAACCGCTAGAGAAAGTAGTTCTTGACTTACAACATTACATTCATTTAGTGACTGTTTGAAGTTACAATGGCACTGACCTATGAAAAAACGGACATGACTATTTTTTCACACGATCATTGCAGCATCCCCACATGATCAACCTT